CAAGCTTGCTGATACTGTCTCTATAGTTTCTTCTGTTTTTGAGAGGAGAGTAGTTTCAAGGCCTTGTCTTGTACTGAAAGATCTCGAGCCTTCTGTAGAAAGGAAATTGGTATGTGAAGGAGTGGTTCCGATAATCGATGTGCTGAGATCAGTGATACTAGATGTTACCTTTCCCGAAAACTCAGTGCTGTAATCTATAAAATCAATAGTGGACCGTTGGATAGCAGTAGTGTTATTTGCTATAGTAGATGGTTTTTTTGAGGTCCCAGTTGTTGTTGGAAAAGTTGTTTCACTAACTGATTGAGTGGTAGCATCGTTACCTATTCTCGTAGTAGCTATGCTTATAGCATCGATAGTACCATTCCTGGTATTCATGTTAGTAGATCTGGCAGTATCATCAATAGTTGTCTTAGTCATAGTCCGGTCGGTGGGTTTAGTAGTAGCTTTGGTAGTAGCGTTAGTAGCAGCTTTTGTAGTAGCTCTCGTAGTAGCTCTCGTAGTAGCTTTGGTAGTTGCTTTGGTAGTAGCTTTGGTGATAGCTCTGGTAGTAGCTTTGGTAGTGGGTTGGGAAGTAGCTTTGGAAGTAGCTTTGGTAGTAGCTTTGGTAGTAGCTTTGGTAGTAGCTTTGGTAGTAGCTGTGGTAGTAGCTGTGGTAGTAGCTTCGGTAGTAGCTTTGGTAGTAGCTTTGGTAGTAGCTGTGGTAGTAGCTGTGGTAGTAGCTGTGGTAGTAGCTTTGGGTGTAGCTGTGGTAATAGCTCTCGTAGTAGCTCTAGTGGTAGCTCTTGTAGTAGCTTTAGTAGTAGCTTCGGGTGTAGCTCTGGTAGTAGCTCTGGTAGTAGCTCTGGTAGTAGCTCTGGTAGTAGCTTTGGTAGTAGCTCTAGTGGTAGCTCTTGTAGTAGCTCTGGTAGTAGCTCTGGTAGTAGCTCTGGTAGTAGCTCTGGTAGTAGCTTTGGTAGTAGCCTTGGTAGTAGCTTTGGTAGTAGCTTTGGTAGTGGGTCTGGTAGTAGCTCTGGTAGTAGTTCTTGTAGTAGTTCTGGTAGTAGTTCTGGTAGTAGCTCTGGTAGTAGCTCTGGTAGTAGCTCTGGTAGTAGCTCTGGTAGTAGCTCTGGTAGTAGCTCTGGTAGTAGCTCTGGTAGTAGCTCTGGTAGTAGCTCTGGTAGTAGCTCTGGTAGTAGCTTTAGTGGTAGGTCTGACTGTTGTAGGTTGGCATAGAATTTCGGTCTGATTTCTTATGAAAGAAGGTTTGCCGTTACATGGAGACGTGTAGAATGGTGCCATTTCTGCATTGACCAAAGTGTTGACGCTTCCTTTCACACTGAGATATACCAATACAAATTCACAATCACATGCTGCAAATATAAATCTATAAAGCCACAAACAAAACAA